AAAGTTATTGAAAACTTTTTTAAACTTTGACACCCTGTATATCTCGGAAACCAAGCAAGCTATATGTGTATATATACAAATGATAATATAGGTGTACCCAAATTGAAACCGTCACTTTTATGACGTTGCTGTGACGTATCTATGACGTCAAATAATCACGTCGGTGTGACGTACCAATTGGGTGAGCTTCGTCATTCAGAAAATTTTTCAACAATTTGCTATCTAGATTTTGTTGGGTGACAAATAAGTCAAGAATATACGTTAGTCAACAAAGTGAAGCTAAATTCGCCAACATCCTTTTCATTGCTATCAAACTCTTCTTGGTTTGCTTACATCTCGCCGACACGAATTACATAATTTTTTATACAAATACGAGTAACTGATTTCATTCTGATGGAGATGCGTACTGAGGGATAGCGCTGCTGAATAGAGGATTGAATGGACATGACACCGGAGGGACCACCAAGCAGACTCAACAATGCATAATCAATATTATATTTTATCAGAGGTCAGCGGTGACTATCTCACCACTTGTTCGAGGAAACTTTTTTACATGTCATCACCAAATTTAAACGTGATTTTGACGTCATTTCGACATTTCTGTTGGTGAGTGAATGACGTCAATAAACGTGAGTACTATGATATCATTGGACTGTGACTTATTCACGTCATTTATCACGTCATACGACGTCAACTCCTGACGGCACCTTGGTCATTCAACTGACGTAAAAAGGCGTCACTGAAACGTCATCTGGTTGCCTGGGCTATAAGGATTACATATTTTTGATATTTCAACAATCATACCCTAATCCTCTGATTCAACAGGTTATGAAAAAATGCTCAACAGCATATTTTCATATTAATTTTGACGAAAAGATCATGGGGTAGTTGCCTTCAATCGCTCTGTAATTGTCTACTTTATTTGAATTTCAACTTGATTCACTTCCATGTGAGTAAGTGATCATTGCTTATATATAAATATCGGTTACTCTAGAACTTTGAACTACCTATCGGCTGATGATGAGCTTATATAAGCCCGAAACATATACCTTTAATGATCTTTGATCATTTGGATAAAAGTTGTGGAGATGTCTTTGAATTTTCATCTATGAACTATACCACTCCACTCTGAGTTACCATGGACTTCTTCCAAAGTTTAAAGAATTGTTTGTATGTCTTGATGTTCAATTCTGAGAACGATCATATGCAGTTCTCAATACATGAAAAGGACCACTCATAGACAAGTTGTATAATCTAACAGAATCAAATGATTCATTTGCGGATTTCGGCATCGAATTTTGTACACGGGGTTCTGTTTGAAGTGGTGTAAAGTAGAACCAATGCACTATGGTCTATTTCTGGCTATATTCCGAATTCAACTGGTCAATTCTGTTCGTAGATCCACTGACTCTGCTCAAAATCTGTGTGCCGAAATATAAAACAAAGATACAGTGCTGTAATATGGGACATGTTTTAATCAGTAATCAGCAGCAGATGATCAGCTGGTGGAATTTGTCAGTTATCAGGTTGTTACTTCTGTAGTTTCTCGTTTATTTGACCAATTATTTAGATAAAAAGCATTTTTTGATATCGAAAATGATATTATCAATTTATTATGGCGAAGACAAGACTTAATGAATAAAAATCAACGAAAATAAATGTGACATTCTTTTTTCCATGCTTTTTCCCTTTGAAATAATGACTGAAGCCACACTTCCTTTTGATAGTCAGCAATTTCAGCAGAATGTTGAGTCGAAATATTTGGACTGAATAGTGTGTCTACTCACGCCGCTTTTAGTGAATTTTTTGATTTCTGAATGAAAATTCAGCAGATTCAGTACTGGCAGTTGAATAAGGAATATAGACTCTATAATACTGTCTGACCTCAGAACAATTCATTTTTATGATGGTAAATTAGTCACAGTTAGTTACACGAGAATACATCTCCATTATTCTTCCAAAATTCACAACTGGAAGAGAATTAATGATTTTTTTTTTATGCACTTGTTCAAATTTTTCTACACGATCTGTAAACACTGAAGATGATGATGGAAAAGTATTGCTTTAAGGTCACATGAAAAGAGCTGAAGGTTGATTAGAAACCGAAAAAAATAATAACAAAACATCCATAAAAGAATTTGTCAATGTTCATTGTTTATCTGGTACTTTCAGTCAAGACATTTCCGGAATTTCATCTTCAGCTCTCAAAGACTTTTGTCAATATTTCTAATCCAAGAACTGATTCATGACCAGTGTGAGTCATCAGAAAAATATCATGAAAGCATGTACAAAAGATACAAATTAAGTAAAAAATGTGGTAATCGTTTTTCATTGAGGAGTTGACCGAATTAATGTGCCACCACAATGTATGTGGGTATGGACTCAAGAGGAAAGAGTTTAAAGATCCAAATAAACATTCGTCCTAAACAGAACCAGTTTTTTTTACCCATAACCTGGAATGACTATTATTCTCACGCTAATAGGGACGTCTCCAGAATTGAATTGAATCAATTATCAAAGTATCATTGTCTACTCTCCAAAAAAGTATGTCATTTCAGTAAGAGTTCGAGTAGGTCCAGAGTGTATAGAAATTTTTTGTGATTGAAATGCAATGTTTTTGTAAAGACATTAGATGATTTTGATGATATCTCAGTGGTTCATAAAGCAATATCACATAATCATTGAATATCACATAATGGAATGATTTATCCACATATTACAGATTTCATAAAATTACTAAAAATATTGTTTGTTCCTACACATTTTACTTAGAACTCAGGAGTCTCTCATCACTGGCCCATCACTCTAACTGTTGCTCACTTTTCATACCTGTTCCTGTCTATAAATATATTTTAGTTTTATCAATTTATGATCACCGGTTTTCTATTCCATTCATTGAACATTCGTAAAACATTTCAATTGAACACATTGACTCTTTACAAGCCTTGGTGAACCTGTCATTGCTAAAGGTTACAGGCGAGACTTTGAAATAAGAATAACTTGATAGAAAAAAAAATGTGGAGGTTAGGGAGATTACAGGTGTCCACATTGGCCTAAAAAATGTTGCCTATTTCATAGTTTATAAAATAGATGTGGAAACGAGGGAAATAAACATACATGAAGGAAGCGACAGAATCTATGGGACTCACTGTCTGTGGTTAAGACTTAAATTTACAAAAAAATATAGAGCCTTAGAATATTGGAATAGGATGGTTACTTTTTGCACCAACTTTTATAACAGGTGGTTTTTTACGTTTTTACTGTTTCGTTGAGTAGCAATGGCTTTTGAAAAATCCCATAAGATGAGTTGGAAGTAATACAGTAGTATTATAGTTTGAGTAGATTCTACTTCAGATGCAAAATTAAAAATGGTTACAAAAAAATCTAGTGAATTCATGTTTGTTAAAAAATGTAAGCATGATCATACTAAGAACCTTCTATAGAATTTGATAATGTAGACATCTCAGGAGACATACACAGGATGTTTCCTGGGATGTTTCATTTGAAATTTCAAAAGGGATGCCCTCAGATGATTTTCACCTTATTCAACTGTGAAATGCTGACAAGTACAGTAATTATCCTAATGGAGATGCCCATATATTGCCCTTGAAATCCTGGCTAATCTAAAGAGAACACATTTGGAGATGGAGACCTACCTCAGACCTACCTCAGACCTACATAGCTGGAACTGCTTTTGAAATGAAAGTTTCTTATTAATTATTTTTTCATTATTGAATATTCTCAATTGAAATACTCCAGACTTTATGAGATCAGTTGCTATTCCAATGGTGTATATTATCAAAGCCTCTTCTTATAACTCAATGAGTTATTGAAGTAGAATGTAAAAATATACATGACTTCCAATGGAACTGGAAACTAAAACTCTTGGTTTCATTATAAAGAAGAAATGTATCTAAAACTCATTTTTGTTCTAAAATTCTCAAGACATATCCTGGAGAGTGAAAAAGCAAATCTTCTTGTGACAGAAATAGGTATAGCTGAGAGTAGGGATAGCTGACACCTGATTTTTCTTGAAACAGGTATGTACTGTTACTGTGATAGAGACATACCTGTTCCTAATACCAGCTTCAACCAATTGAACCAATACCACTGAGTATTTATATTCCATACTCCTCATAACAATGCTGCTGGGATAAAGAAGAGTAAATAGAGAATGAACCAATTTTTGACCAAAATAAACCATTTTGGCATTTTGTAATATAGTTAAATCCACCTTCATATATTATTTTCAGGGAGCTAATATATTATTGGTGTATCCCACAGCATTAATAAGTGCCTCTCTCTCATTTCTATTTCTATTCTGTTTCTGCTTGTGCTCATAGTAAAATACTGAAAAATACTAGCATTTTCTCTGTTCTCTGTCACAGTGTTATGCAGTATCACAAATTGCAGAATCTCATAGGTAGGCATACTTGTTGTCACAGGCATTTTTCATATCTGTTACAAATACCTGCTCCCTAAATAATGGAACATCCCTACCTGATGGTATACCATAAACTTAATGAGGCATCTTCCCTGAGAACATGAGATGCCTATTTCAATTGGAATTTCCTTCTAATGCATTTCAATCCATGATGAATTAATTTTATGGTGAATTGATAAACTCAAATAAACCATAATCAAAGAAGCTGATTTGTTGAATAATTTCAAGAGACCAATTAAAGCTTTGAAAGTTTCCCAATTTACTTGTAAATCATCAGTTTAATAGGGTTTATAAATTAACCATAAATATGGCATAAACAGATCTAAAACTGCCATGAGTTTACCTGTATTTTCTCTGTTAAATTGTGAATAATCTTCACCATTATGGAACAAGAACTCAACATTCTACTTGTGGTATTGAGATTTAATAAGTAGGTTCATTGAGACAATGACTACTTGGTATATTATAGGTAGGTATTTTTGAACCCAGCTATTCCACCATTTCTTTAGACAAACAATTCCACAATGGAATGGAGTGACCGGCAACGGGTAGGTACCTTTCAGAGCTTGCCGACGACGGTGGATCCAGAACATACATTTTAGCAGCCATTTTTCACTAAAACAGTAAAACTGATCCTTCAAATATTATGAGATCAATCAAATTATAATAATATTACGACTCTTGTTTTGGACTCTTACGAAAATATGTTTTGTTGATCTTCTGATTTTGATTTTGAATAGAAAGACGTCAAGCATGGAACAAGAAACAATTACAGAACCTGTGACAGCTGACAGAACCATCTCAGAACATCAAAACAAGAACTTTGAGAGAAGCGAAAAACGTCTCGTTACCATCTCGTTAAGCGGCGTTCACAACCAAACTTTTTACGTTTTGCTTTTTACGTTTCGTATTCTGATTGGTGAAGCAGAATCTGAAATCAAATGTGAACTAAACCTATATGCAAATGTCATTCACAACAACAAAAAATCAACGTGACTTTTTATGGCTCACTTGCCTTGGTTTTGATGTTTGTTTTTCATCCTGAAATGAATAAAATAATCATAACAATAATATTGATCAGATAATTAATAATATTCATAGAACTGGCGGTGAAGAAAATTGATTCTTATTCTATACTCGAAGAGAAAAATCAATCTTCAACAAGAAAATAATGAATTGAACAGTATACCTAGCTACTATTCTGTGGATTCACAAAAAAATCATGAAAACATCATCATAACTTTCATATTATTACAGAATGTTCCATATTATTCGTCTATTTTTACTATTTCCACAGACGATGGCTTCTTGCAACGCAAAAAGCTGAATATTTTCAGCTTTTTGCGAAATTTCAATTACAGATTTTGCTTCACCAATCAGAATACGAAACGTAAAAAGCAAAACGTAAAAAGTTTGGTTGTGAACGCCGCTTAACTCTCGTTATAATCGGGTCATGATGAAAATATATCCACCTTTTATCGGATCATGTGGCTGTGGTCATTTGGTCATGAAAGTCATGAACAACAGTTTAGGCAAGTTTGGGGGGAGTCCCTGCCAACGATATCTTATACAGGGTGAGTCATTAGGGATGGGCAATCTCTGAACTAGAGATAGTGAACACCAAAATTTGAAGATTTAGCCTTACATGCCTTGTAGAAATGTTGCTGGTTTAGAAGATATAGAGGGTGTTCAAGGAGAAGATTTTATTTTGATATTGATATAATATAAAATTTTGTAATTTCAAGTTTTTCGATATGAGAAATACGAATTCGTAAATTATTTTGTGATTGCAGCTCAAAGAGAGTGCTAGTGACACCTTGTCACTTCAGTAAATTGCATTGAATGTTGGTAAAGATAAATTGAAAATCTGAAAGCCTGTTCGATTTTACTTAAACAATATACTTTTTTCAAAATTATCCAGCTATTATAACGGTTTTTGAGTGATTTTATAAAAATTTTATTATATTAAATTATAAAATTAGCAAAGTGACACTAGAAAACAATGACAGTAATTGATAATGACAATAAATAACAACACCAACAACAAACACATAATAGTGAAAATAATTTAGAAATTTCAAAATAAAATCTTCCCCTTGCAGACGCATCGTGTATCTTCTAAACCGGTGGCAACACCTTTATAAGATATGCTGGGCTAAATCTTCACATTCTTGTGTTTACTGTTTACTATCTGTAGTTCAGAGACCCAGGCAACACATATATATTCATTGGATATCTATTTCTTGCATATCAGATGACTGGATGTTCATTGGACATCCATCTTGTAGATATGTATAAATGGACCTCCGAATCTCCGCATCCGATGGAAATTCATCATTAACCCAGCGGAAATCGTCTTTGAGGCTATCCTACATTAAAAAAGTTCACTAATGTCGTTGATTGATATATTACGCTTACGCAAGCGTAATATATCAATCAACGCTAATGTTTTTTGCGGACAACTCCACTATCGGTACCTACTATTTTTTACGATTCACGTCTCATGATGCGTCATTATTGTAGGTATAGGTGCGCCCACTTAAAGTTCTGAGTATTCGTGATTTTCATCCAATTTCAATCTGAAACCATTCAGAATGTGCAAAGTTCGATGCGCCTGCGAATGTTATATTGTTCGAAGAGGCCCACTCCAATATTCCAAAAATATGAAGAACAGGGTTCCATTTGAATAGTTGATTTTGTGATATGTCACGCTTTAAGAGATCACTAGGTAAAACTTTTGATAACGGCTGCGTAAAGGCTTCATTGCGGCATTCAACTTCGGCATATTGGAATACTTACTATAATAATTATTAATAATAGCTCGTGGTCCAGTTGTTATAGTGTATGTGATTCAGGTCAGCATAGACTCCAACAACGATGAACTCCCGGAAGAATAATCAGATCGAGTATGAAATTCAAGAGCTCAGGAACTCTTCCTGGAGAGTCAAGTTGGAGAGTCTGGACCCTCGCGAAAATACTTTATGGAAAATGACTAAAATATTTAAAAAACGGTTCACACCCATTACAACCCTGAAGTATGGCCGCGAGGAAGTGGTATCAGATCCGGAGAAGATGGTAATGCTTGGAAGACACTTCCAAAATATATCTAAAATCAACAAAGATAGGTGCGGTTCAGGCGGACATGGTGGCAACTGCCACACTTATATGAGATCACTGCCCACCATCTCGCTTTCGCGACAAGCCCTGGACAAAACAATTGAATCCCCTGAAGAGATAATGGGAATTATTAAAAATCTCAACATCAATAAAGCACCAGGGGTTGATGGTTTGAATTTGGTTCACCTAAAGAACATGTCACGCAAGGCAGTAGTGCAACTGCATTACGTCATCAATGCTAAGAGGTGTCAGCACTACCCAGAATGCCTGAAAACTGGGCTTGTTGTACCTATCCAGAAACAGGGCAAGAACCTGAAGTCCACCAATGGCTACTGCCCCATATCACTGCTTAGCGCAGTTGCCAAGATCGTGGCCGGATAGAGTCCTAATATCCAAACAGGTCGAGAAACTGGAGCCCATCCCAATGGAATAATTCGGGTTCCGCAAGGAACACAGTACCGTGTCCTGTGTCTCAAGGGGCCCGATTTGTTCATGAGGTTGAGGAGGTCAGCAACAACGAGAATAACACCGTTCTGGTCATGATGGACGTAGAAAAGGCCTTCGACACCTTCTGGCACGAAGGTTTAATGGCCAAGTTGTACCAAAGTGCCGATTTTTATCATTAAAATTATCGATGCATCTATCACCACAAGAAAATCCGGGACAAGGTCAACGATAGTATATCGAGAGATTTTCCACTTGAGGCAGATGTTCCACATGAGCCGTGCCTTTCACCTCTGTTATATGCCCTATACACACGATTTCCCTGTGTTCGAGCGGACGAGTACGGCACTGTACACCGACGACACGGTGATGTATGCTCACTCGTCCGTCTTGGATATTGCCAGACAGCAAATCCAAATATCCGTGTAAATAGTAGAAAGAATGAAGTCATCAACTTCTACAAGAAAAAAAAATGAATCCAAGCTACACAGACCTTTGACCGTCAAAGGGGTTGAGATGACATACACGAGCCCCGTGTAATACCTGGGGGTTGAACTGGATACTCGTATGAGTCTCAGGCCCACCACCAATTATCTTATCCAGAAGACACAGACAGCCATAAAAAATATATACCCCTTGTTATACAGGACCTCTGCACTCTCGTTGGAGAACAAGGTCCTTTGTACTGCAGCATCCCACCTACTCATATGAATAGCTTACAGGTGCTGCAGTAGTACTTCGTATTATCACCAACGGTGATAGATACTCTCGAGTGGCAGATCTCCACGAGAGATGTGGTAATTTGCCTAGAATCAACGAATTCATTTTGAAAATATCAAATAAATTCTACAAATACCACATCGCTGGAAGTGACCTTACCCGGGATATCACGTCAACACCATACCATACACAAAAAACACGTGCTGATATATGCATCTACCGATGTGTTTAGACAACCTGATAATCTATAGTTGGGAATCTCCCCGGATTCTCGGACATACCCGAGACTCCGGGGGGATCTAGACAAGAATATCTCCCAATCGAAAATAAAAAAGTGCCGTGGACGTGAAAAATCACATCCAGTCACTGAACTCGGGAAAATGTGCTACCCAGAAATGTGCAGTACAACTGCCCGAGCAAATCAAGAAGGAGGTTTTTATGTTTTTTTCCACATTTTATTTTTTTTTTCTCCAAAAACGTGACTCCCCACACTGATCGCGTCTGAACAACTCCCCCACCCTCTTGGGTACCTTCAGCGAGATTACCTATATAAAGGGTCTAGCCCTAGGAGATGGGTCTCTGTGACGAACACCTCACATATCCACTTACATTCCCTGGCCAACACCAGCCACCTCTGCGTCAAGCGGAGGGACGCTCAGGCACACCTGCAGATGTGCCAAACCACTTTGGAATTAATGTATCTGATGTATGTGTTGTACTAAAAAAATAACAGATAATGAATGACTTTGAAATGCTTCACAAGAGCGGGGTCGTGACTTCAATCCGCTCGGCAGGAACCTCTTTTTATTTTTCAGGTCCTGGACAGAATTTGAACATCCAACAGAAATAAAAGTAAATGGATGTCCATTGGACTTCCGATTTCACTCATCGAGAGGGACTAAGCCCGGTCGTGGCATCGATCCACGCTGAGACGCGAGCGTTCCTATGGCCGTGTAAGCTGCCCCAGATGGTCTAGCGGCCGATTCTGAGCATGGCTTATGAACATGGTCAAGGAACGCATTGTCTGATTCGGCAGTCTTCGAAATGTTTTTTTTTTTGCTTTTAATTTTCCCCATGAAATACGATCATTTCCGAAAATGGCAATGTCTGTATTCAACCATAGCCCAACTGGGTACATCTATTTATAAGAGATTTCTTGCCATAAGGAGCCTGGCTTCAGGAGGTGGGATGCATTTTGTCAGGACTCTAATCACAGAACAATTACCTTCCTGGATATCACACCATAGCCATCGAACAAGTATAGAATTTTATGAAATAGGATAAAATATAAAAATATATCCCCAATAACGAAGGAAAATTAGGTACAA